AACATCTTCACAAGAAGGACCAGTTGCTCCCTGGAAAAGCATCTTTGGGATCCCAAAGGTGCTCCCCCCCAAAGGCAACTGGGCTTTTTTGGGGGGGGGTTCCCCCTTTGAAAAGTTGTCTCTTTTCATCCACTTCTCCAGTGAAGAAACTTCTTGGATGAGAAGCGAAACGTCTTCACAAGAAAGACCAGTTGCTTCCTGGAAAAGCATCTTTGGGATCCCAAAGGTGCTTTTTTTCCCCCAAAAGGCAACTGGACTTTTTTTTCGGGGGGGGGGGTCCCCCTTTGAAAAAGTTTCGCTTTTCATCCACTTCTCCAGTGAAGAAGCTTCTTGGATGAGAAGCAAAACGTCTTCAAGGGAAAAACAAGAAAGACCAGTTGCTTCCTGGGAAAGCATCTTCGGGATCCCAAAGTGCTTCCCCCCCAAAAAAGGCAGCTGGACATTTTTGGGGGGTTCCCCCTTTGAAAAGGTGTCGCTTTTCATCCACTTCTCCAGTGAAGAAGCTTCTTGGATGAGAAGCGAAATGTCTTCACAAGAAGGACCAGTTGCTTCCTGGAAAAGCATTTTTGGAATCCCAAAGGTGCTTTTTTCCCCCCAAAAGGCAACTGGACTTTTTTTTTGGTGGGGGGGTTCCCCCTTTGAAAAGGTGTCACTTTTCATCCACTTCTCCAGTGNCTTCCTAATGCCGCGACCCTTTAATACAGTTCCTCATGTTGTGGTGACCCCCAACCATAAAATTATTTTCGTTGCTACTTCATAACTGTAATTTTGCTACTGTTATGAATCGTAATGTAAATATCTGATATGCAGGATGTATTTTCATTGTTACAAATTGAACATAATTAAAGCATAGTGATTAATCACAAAAACAATATGTAATTATACATTGTGAAATATTTATTTCTAATTACAAATAAATGAAATTTTGTCTTGAAGCATGGTGTAGCATGGGTAACAGTCTTAATATAACAACAGTAAACTACATTGCTACATTTTACGACAGTATGCGTAAAAAGCCAACGTCAGTGCGAAGGTTGAGATTGCTTCTTTCTCACCAGATCAGAAATTCTCGGGGCAGTCTTTGCAAGAGCACAACGAAGATCATCTTCCATAACAAGTCTACTTCTGTATTTAGACTTGATAACCAACAAGCTGGAAAACCCTGTTTCACAAAGATATGTTGTTGGAAATGGAAGAAGAAGGCGCAACACAGTCTCAGAAAGAACAGGATATGACTGCAAACACTTGATCCAGAATTTTGTAACTGGCATTGTAGAGAAATCAGTTCTCGCTGCATCACTATTAATAAGTTCAATGAACTCCTCTTGTGCTGTCTCAGGAACATTTTCAACTTTGACTGTGAATGGGTTTCTGGCAAGTGCAAATGGGGTGTCAGGTAGATTTGGAAAGTACGATGAAATTTCGTCTGCAAGCATGTGCAAGTGTTCTTTCACAGAAATTATCAGTGTAATCCTTTTGTCTGGTTCAATGTCATGTTCCTCAAAGAAAGCAGATAAGGTAGGCAACATGTAAATTTTATTTTCATCCAATTTTTTTTGCCAAAGCTGAAGTTTCATATGGAATGATTGGATCTTTTCAGACAAATCGAGGCACGTTGCATTTGGTCCTTGCAGTGATAAACTTAACTCATTCAAAATGGCAAAGATGTCAACCAAGTAAGCTATTTTCTGCAGTTCACTTTTATCGCTGAAAAGTGCTTCAAACTGCGGTCTTGCTTTCTGATTAAAAAACGTTTTGAGTTCATCACGAAGCTCAAAAACACGTTTTAAAACTTTTCCTCTCGACAACCATCTCACTTCAGTGTGAAATAGCAGAGCATTGTTCGGCGCATCCAACTCATTGCACAGTTGTGAAAACAGTTGACTGTTTAAACTGCTCGCCTTTACAAAATTGACAGAACTTATGACGCTTTTCATTACTTCTTGTAACTCTTGTGGCAGCGTCTTTGTTGCTAATATTTGCCGATGAATCATACAGTGAGTTCCGATGACTTTTGGTGACTCATTCAGTACCAAACGTTGAAATCCAGATCGGCATCCTAGCATAGCTGGAGCACCATCTGTGCAAACGCCACAAACCTTTCCCCAAGAGATCTTATGCTCTTTCAGAAATGAACCAACTGTGTCAAATACATCACGTGCAGTAGTTGTCGTTTCAAGAGGTTTGCAAAAAAGAAACTCATCTTTAAAGTCACCATCATTAATATACCTCACGTAAACTAGTAACTGTGAACAGTTTGCAACGTCTGTAGATTCATCAAGCTGGATACTAAATATTGGAAGTGGAGCAGATTTAATTTCTTGGATTACCTGATCAAGAATATCAGCAGACATGTCATCTATTCTTCTGCGGATAATGTCGTTAGATAAGGAAATTGCACTCAATTTCGTAACAAATTCGTCTCCGATCATAACTCGAACAATGACTTTGACCGCTGGCAACAGTAAATCCTCAAAAATGGTGTGAGGTTTCATAGCTCTGGCAATTCTGAGTGCCACCAAATATGAAGCTTCAATGGCTGTTATGTTTTGTTTGTGGTACTTGGCACCAGTGTCAAGTCTGGCTTTCTTGTGTCCATCAACTTTGCTTCTTAAATAGTTGGTATCCTTGCCGGCAAAGCTCGGATGGTTGCTATCAAAATGGCGTTTTAGTTTGTTCGGCTTCATAGATTCGGCTGATAGAACTTTATAACAAATAACACATTGCGGTTTCTCAATTCCTGCTGTAATTATTGAGGTAAAACCATACTGTAAAAAATCCTTACTATATTTTCTTTTCTTAATGTTCTTCTTTACACGATCCATTGTCATGGGATGGTTTGCTAATGAAAATAATATATAACAATAGCTTTAATAATACAAAAGATGATACATGGCATAGTTCAGTCAATACAGTTCATTAAAGTTTCCTATGATTTACCATTCTGTGTTTTTTTTTATATACCTGTTACTATCACAAGGGGGCAGAATTCACATCAACCACAGCTGAATATAAAAAGACAGAACAGCATCCAGATTAAGTTCCCACGGTACAGACATTATGGCGCCAACCCTGTCACATACACCTGTATTTGTACAGGGTGTATGTGATGGGATTGGTGTGATGATGTCATCACACTGGGTACTCGTATGTGGGCGTATCTGCATGTGGGCGGACCTGCCTGGAGATGGATAGAGGAGCGGTGTCTCGATTCCTAAGACCATCGGAAACATGTTTTCCGATGGTCTTAGGCAACCCCTGTGAAAGGGTCGTTCGACCCCCAAAGGGGTCGCGACCCACAGGTTGAGAACCGCTGCAGTAAGGAAATTGCTTTGGCTGTAACATTAACATTGCATAATTGAAGAGTTTTAATGAATCCTATAATGGTAGAACACTGTTCTATTCTTCATAGAAATAATGAATGTGCACAGAAGAGTCAGAATTGTGTTGGACTGAAGGCATTGGAGTAGGACTGGAAAGACCCAGGGTTAAGTCAACCTTTACCTATGGAAACGTCCTGAGTGACTTTGTACCAATCACTCTCTCTCTCTCTGCCCAACCAACCTTACATATGCCCAATGAGATGGAAGGAAAATCTTCCAATGTAATTTGCCTAAGAAGATGGCTGTAGCGATTGTCCTATTATATTAAAACACCTGCATTTCCCTTTAAGATCACATATGTACTTCCAGGGAGCAGTTTGGTACAGTGTTTCTCTCAACTTTAAGAAGAAGGCAATTCCAAACTATTTTTTTCCTGGAGGCTAAAACATATGAGGAACGGTTGCTGGAATTGGGTATGTCTAGTTTGAAAAAGAGAAGGACGAGGGGCGACATGATAGCAGTGTTCCAATATCTCAGGGGCTGCCACAAAGAGGGAGTCAAGCTATTCTCCAAAGCGCCTGAAGGCAGGACAAGAAGCAGCTAATCAAAGAGAGAAGCAACCTAGAACTAAGGAGAAACTTCCTGACAGTTAGAACAATTAACCTGTGGAACAACCTGCCTCCAGAAGCGGTGAATGCTCCAACACTGGAAGTTTTTAAGAAGAGACTGGACAGCCATTTGTCTGAAATGGTATAGGGTTTCCTGCCTGAGCAGGGGGTTGGACTCGATGACCTCCAAGGTCCCTTCCAACTTTATTACTATTATTATTATTATTATTATTATTATTATTATTATTATTATTATTATTATTATTATTATATTATATTATTATTATGACTGTGTATCTGTGTACAAACAATATTGTATATAAATATTTATATTAAAGTGTGTGTGTGTGTGTATGTGTATACACACAATATATACACAAACTCCCACGGGCAGCATATACATTTAATAAATACCTACATAAATAAAAAGAATCTAACTAAACTTGTGTCCAAAGCAGTGTTTCTCAACCTTGACAATTTTAAGGCATGTGGACTTCAACTCCCAGAATTCCACAGCCAGCATTGCTGGCTTTGGAATTCTGGGAGTTGAAGTCCACATGCCTTAAAATTGTCAAGGTTGAGAAACACTGGTCCAAAGGGAGATCAAGCTTGGCCTCCCTCCGGGGCGGGGCCGGAAAAGGTCCCTCCTCTTAAAGAAACAGTCACCTTTTAAAAACCATCCCCGAAAGAAGCGCAGTGTCCTTTCGTTTCGCGTTTTCTCCCTCTCCCTTTTTTAGAGGGAAACTTACCAACTGACCGGTCGAGTAGGACGATTTTGGAAAGGGCACGGCAATAATTTCCCTTCCGCGCTCAGCTCCTGCGTAGAAAAGCCGCCCTCGGAAGGAAGGAAGGCAGGCGCCACGAGTGGGAAAAGAAACGAGCCCGAACCTTCCCGCAGTCTCTATGGTAGCGTTCCTTGCGAACGTCGACCGACCCTGCACCAATCGCATCCCCATCCGGAAGTACCTCCAGGACCATAGAGCCGGGACGGAAAGAGCCCTCGTGACTAGGAGGCTTCCGGCAACGACCAGTCTTTCCTCTCCCCCTCCCATTTCCGGCCGCGGGTGCCGTCCGTCCCGTCGCCAGGAGCCAGGCCGTTCGCGTGGCCGTGGGCGAGCGCTGCCTCCCCTTCACCTTCCCGGGCTCCCCCTTTCGTTGCTCCCCCGGCGGCTCCCTGCTCTCTCCCGACCGGCGCCATGGCGATGAAGCAGACCCCGCTGGCGTGCTCCGGCCACACGCGGCCCGTGGTGGACCTGGCCTTCAGCGGCATCACCCCCTACGGCTACTTCCTCATCAGCGCCTGCAAGGGTGAGCCCGGAGGGTCGTCTCGGCCTTGGCCCGAAGCCCCTTGGCGGAGATCCGCCTCCCTTCAACCCCCGTTTCCCCCGCTCTCCTTAACGGGGCTCATCCGAGCCTGTTCGAGCTGCCTCTTTCCTGGGACCGGGGCCTTGCTTCGGGCATCAGCAGGCCATAGATAGAGCAGGGGTTCTCGGCCTGGGCCACGGGGGGCTCTACCCCGGAGGTGACGAGCTGAAGAAGCTTCTTGGACGAGAAGCGAAACGTCTTCACAAGAAGGACCAGTTGCTTCCTGGGAAAGCATCTTTGGGACCCCAAAGGTGTTTTTCCCCCCCAAAAAACAACTGGACTTTCTTGGGGGGGGTCCCCCTTTGAAAAGGTGTCGCTTTTCATCCACTTCTCCAGTGAAGAAGCTTCTTGGGTGAGAAGCGAAATGTCTTCACAAGAAGGACCAGTTGCCTCCTGGGAAAGCATATTTGGGACCCCAAAGGTGTTTTTCCCCCAAAAAAACAACTGGACTTTCTTGGGGGGGGTCCCCCTTTTTAAAGGTTTTGCTTTTCATCCACTTCTCCAGTGAAGAAGCTTCTTGGATGAGAAGCGAAATGTCTTCACAAGAAGGACCAGTTGCTCCCTAGAAAAGCATCTTCGGGATCCCAAAGGTGCTTCCCCCCCAAAAAGGCAACTGGACTTTTTTTTGGGGGGGGTTCCCCCTTTGAAAAGGTGTCTCTTTTCTTCCACTTCTCCAGTGAAGAAGTTTCTTGGATGAGAAGCGAAACGACTTCAAAGGAAAAACAAGAAAGACCAGTTGCTTCCTGGGAAAGCATCTTCGGGATCCCAAAGGTGCTCCCCCCCCCAAAGGCAACTGGACATTTTTTGGGGGGGTTTCCCCCTTTGAAAAGGTGTCGCTTTTCATCCACTTCTCCAGCGAAGAAGCTTCTTGGATGAGAAGCGAAACGTCTTCACAAGAAGGACCAGTTGCTTCCTGGAAAAGCATCTTCGGGACCCCAAAGGTGTTTTTTCCCCCAAAAAAACAACTGGACTTTCTTGGGGGGGTTCCCCCTTTGAAAAGGTTTTGCTTTTCATCCACTTCTCCAGTGAAGAAGTTTCTTGGATGAGAAGCGAAACGTCTTCAAAGGAAAAACAAGAAAGACCAGTTGCTTCCTGGGAAAGCAACTTTGGGACCCCAAAGGTGCTTTTTCCCCTCAACAGGCATCTGGACTTTTTTGGGGGGGCGGGTTCCCCCTTTGAAAATATGTCTCTTTTCATCCACTTCTCCAGCGAAGAAGCTTCTTGGATGAATAGCGAAACATCTTCAAAGGAAAAACAAGAAAGACCAGGTGCTTCCTGGGAAAGCATCTTTGGGATCCCAAAGGTGGTTTTTTCCCCCCCAAAGGTGGTTTTTCCCCCCCAAAAGGCAACTGGACTTTTTTTTGGGGGGGGTCCACCTTTGAAAACGTTTCGCTTTTCATCCACTTCTCCAGCGAAGAAACTTCTTGGATGAGAAGCGAAACGTTTTCCAAGGCGGGGTGGGTGGGTGGGGGGAAGCCCCAACAAGAAGTCCAGTTGCCTTTTGGAAAAAAAACATAGTTGCCTTTGGGAAACCATAGCCTGGATGATTGACAATGGGCTTATAGTCTTTATGGATACAGATTAGTTTAATGACCAGTACGGATGGTGAAATACAGGTAGTCCTCGACTTACGATGGTTCGTTCTGTTTGAACAGTAACTGTTCAAAGTTACAGGGGCACGGTGGTAAGTGAAAAATGATCCTAAGTAGTTTTTTATGACCTAGGATCGTTTTTTACACTTAACGACCGTTGCAGCTTCTCCATGGTCGCGTGATCAGAATTTGGACACCTGGTAACTGACTCATATTTATGACGGTTGCAGTACCCTGGGGTCATATGTTCACCTTTTGTGACCTTCTGACAAGCGAAGTCAATGTGGAAGCCAAATTCACTTAACTGCAGTGATTCACTTTAACAACTGTGACAAGAAAAGTCGTAAAAGACAAAATTCACTTAACGGTCTCACTTCGCAATAGAAATTTTGGGCTCAGTTGTGGTTGCAAATAGAGGACTACCTTTATTTTTTTTCCCAGTCAACAGTGACTGGGAGGGGGATCAGTATAGAACAGCGGTTCTCAACCTATGGGTCGCGACCCCATTTGGGGTCGATCGACCATTTCACGGGGGTCGCCAAGCAAGGCTGTCCGCCATTTTTTTTCCCCTTTTCCGGCGGGTGCCTTACCTCCCTTGAGCTGGGCCAGCTGGTGGTCGGCCTGCTCCGTCTCTGCCGCTTGCCAGCTACGCCTCGGCCGGCGCAAGGGGCGGAACCACACATGCGTGGTGCTCCCGGGCAGGGAAAGTCCTCGCCTTACGACCGGCTGGGTAGTCCTCGACTTACGATCGGTTTAGTCCTCGACTTACGACCGGTTGGGGGTCGCGGCATTAAAAAGGTTGAGAACCACTGGTATAGAAGGTGCTGATTTGGGGCACTTTAGCTGTGCTGAAGTGTGTCCACTCTGTTTCTTTATCTTTCCTTCCTTCCTTTTCTTTAATACTCCCTTGTGACTGTAAGTTGTTTCCTTTTTGAAATAAGGCAGTATTAGACATTCCTGTAAAATGATAGGTGACAATATAAACACAAATCTTATGTGAACATATAATGTGACGATTATGCTAATATTCATTGTTAGTCGCTTTATCAGTTTTACATGATGAAGAGAAGATAAGTGGCCAGTGTATATATTATTATTCTCTCTGTTGCTTTGCAAGTACATTGAATGCTTCTGTATCGGAGACAAATTCCTCACACTTGGCCAAATGATGTGTTCAATTCAATTGCCAAATTACATTCATGTTACTTTTCTATTCACATGTGATGGCTATGTTGTGAAGGTGTATGAGATGTACAGTAGGTTGATTGCTGTGGTAGCCAAACAGGGTTTGAATGGGTCAGTTCCTGAGGAAATACTCTGTTTAACATGGAGGAGAGCGGGGTATCAGAAAAACGAGTTACTTCATATCAATGAACTTAAAACTTTCAAAACTGTATTGTGAGATTACTTATACCACAAACATTCATTTAACTGCCTAAATTGCTCATGTGTACAAGTTTAATGTTAGAGAAAGAGAAATCAACCTGCCAAGGTAATTGGGTTTTCATCTTCAGTATTTAACTTATTTAAAGGAATCTGCAAAAATGTTTGATTTTGAAACCATTTAGAGTTAAACGTTTTTATATATTTATGTTGGTGGATTATTTAGGCTCCTATAAAAAAAAACAAATTTAATGGTCGTAGCAGGTAGACTAAAAGGATCAGTAGTATTTGCTGGCATGTGTAACAGCTCATCATATATCAAAAGTGTATTTGCATTTTGGCCTTCAATAGCATATATAATAACGACAATAAGGGATTATATTTCCAGTTTAGGAATGCTTAGCTTAATCGACTGTTGGAGGTTCAAATGCCCCATCCCTGAGTGAAGAGTGGTTGTGTGGATATGCAATAAGCAGACAAGCTGCCATATGCTGAAGTTCTTGGATCACAGCTGAAAAATGACCCAAGGCAGTTTTTATAAGACTTTGTCAAACATTAGAATTCCTTATTTGTGTACATGGGACTTTTTACCACGGGTAGTCCTTGACTTAACAAAAATTTGTTTAGTGATCATTTACAGTTAACAATGGCCCTGAAAAAAGTGACTTATGACTGGTCCACACATTTACAACTATCATAGCATCCCCACAGTCACATGATCAAAATTCTGTTGCTTGGCAACCAGGAACTATTTACGATGGTTGCAGTGTCCCAGGGTCACATGATCGCCATTTGTGACCTTCCCAATCAGTAGGGGAAACCAGATTCGCTTAATGGCTACATGGTTCACTTAACAGCTGGAGTGATCCACTTAGCAAGTATGGCAAAAAGTTCATAAAATCAGGTGCAACTCGTTTAATCGCCTTGTTTAGTGATGGAAATTCTGGTCCCAACTGCGGTTATAGGTCCAGGATTGCCTGGATGGTCTGTAGCCTTTTCCTGCATTTACATTTATCTATAAACAAATATATGCTGCATGATTGAGATTGTCTTACAATTTTTCTTCTTCCCCCTCCCCAGATGGTAAACCTATGCTTCGACAGGGGGACACAGGGGACTGGATTGGAACATTTCTTGGTCACAAAGGAGCGGTTTGGGGGGCCACGTTGAATGAGGACGCCACTAAAGCCGCTACAGCTGCTGCAGATTTTACTGCGTAAGTGAGAATTGTTGCATACAGAAATACTTCCAGCCACTTTAGAGCTTTTATCGAATCATTAAGTTCAAACAATAGCAAGAAAGCTAAGATAAAGGAAATCTATACCAGGGGTTTGCTGCAAATACCATGTCATTAGCGGAGTCCTCTTTTGTTTCAGCAAACTGTGGGATGCTGTTTCGGGAGATGAACTCCTCACTCTGGCTCACAAGCATATTGTCAAGTCTGTGGACTTCACTCAGGTAAAAAAGGGGAAAAAAAGTACAAACGTCATTTTGTCTCTCTCGATTTTCAAGATTTTGAATCTGCCTTTGCTTTTCTGAAGATAGTCGGCATATTGCTAATCTTACTGATATTTTTTTTAAAACTAATACAGTTTAAAAAGGTCCGGCATATTACCAACTGTCTTAATAAATGACAATGCTAATTTTCTCTTCTAGGACAGCAATTACTTGTTGACAGGAGGACAAGATAAATTGTTACGTATCTATGATTTAAACAAGCCAGAGGCAGGTGAGTTGGGTTTTTTTTTATTCGTATGAATCAGTAAAATGAATTATTAGAGGTTGCTAATATTGCTGTGGTAATTTGAAGGCCCGGTAAGCTGACCTTTCCCCCCCTGGTTTTAATATATTTTTTGTTATTTGTAACTGGCCAGAATAAGAAAACTGTGATTAAGAAAAACCACAGATTCCAACAAAATGTGTGCAAAGTCTTCTGTTTGCCGTACCAAAATGCAGGAAAGGACAGAATATGATCCTGCTTTGAACAGCTGATTTTGTTAATTTTGTAAATAAATTGGATTGTCTTTTTTTTATCATACTATCACCAAAGTGGGATCTTCGGGCAGGAGTCCATGGCCCCACTCAGTGGAATAGGCAAGGGAGGGAATAAAAATAGCAGAAATGGTTTATCCCTTCTTGAAGTAAGCAGGGTAAATGGATATGGTCATCTAAGGAGGACTTTTTAAGCCCAAAGTTGACAAACGAATTTAGCCCCATGAAATTACCTCTTTTGGAAGCAAGGAGAAATATGATATATAGACTAAAACATACGAAGAACGGCTACGGGACTTGGGTTTGGCTAGTCTAGAGAAAAGAAGAAATAGGGGAGAGATGATAGCAGTGTTCCAGTATCTGAGGGGCTGCCATAAGGCAGAGAGGGTCAAGTTGTTCACCAGAGCACCAGAGGGCAACAACAGTTAACAACAGTTTCCAACAAATGGTTGGAAACTGATCAAGGAGAGAAGCAACCTGGAATTAAGGAGAAACTTCCTGACAGTGAGGACAATCAACCAGTGGAATAGGTTGCCCCCAGAAATCGTGGACGCTCCATCACTGGAGATTTTTAAGAAGAGACTGGACGTTCACCTGTCTGTGACAGTATAGGTTCTCCTGCTTGAGCAGGGGGCTGGACTAGAAGACCTCCAAGGTCCCTTCCAGCTCTATTCTATCTGTTTTTATTGTAACTTTCATTGTATGCATGGGAATACCCTGAAATATCTGAACATGCACTGTACTCTCTAATATACAATAATTTACTTCCATAATTTTTATTTATCAATCACAAATGTAGTAGGAAATACAACCTTAGCGAAAGAAAAGAAGTTTTTTTTTTAAAATCCAAAATATTTCCTTTATTTTTTAGACCCTGAGGTGGTCAGTGGTCACACGTCTGGTATTAAAAAGGCTCTGTGGAGCAGTGATGATACACAGATCCTTTCAGCAGATGACAAAACAGTCAGGTAAGAAGTAATCAGTGCCTCTTCCCTTAGCACTATATAACATCCCTTAGCGCTATATAACATCCCTCAGTGCTATATAACATCCTTTCGTGCTATATAACATCCCTTACTGCTATATAACATCCCTTAGCACTATATAAGAAATGGATGGTGGAGCTGTGTGGCTTTCATCTTCACTATAAAACTACATTTTGAATTTGAGCATATATGCTTAGCTTTCCACGCATTGGACTTTATCATGCAAGTAAATGTCTTTCACTATAGGTAGTCCTCGACTTACGATCGTAATTGAGACTGGAATTATGTTGTAAGTCGTGATGGTTCTTTTTATGTGACCTTATGTCAGGGGTCCTCAACCTTGGCAACTTTAAGACTTGTGCTGGCTGAGGAATTCTGGGAGTTGTAGTCCACATGTCTTAAAGTTGCCACAGTTGAGGACCCCTACCTTATGTGAACAATTTTACGACCTTTTTTTGCAGCAGATGTTAAATGAATCCATTCTATTCAATGACTGTTCTGTGCCGGAAACTACAAGTAAACACTGGAACCCGGCCAAAAAACCTCCCAAAAGTCATGTTCATGTGACCACAGGATGCTACAAATCGCTGTAAATGCCAGTGCCTGAATTTTGATTATGTGACTGTGGCAATAGTGCTATGGTCGTAAGTGTGAGGACTGGTTGTAAATCACTTTTTTCAGTGCTGTGGTAACTTCAAATGGCTACTTTACGAATGGTTGTAAGTTGAGGACTGTCATCTTGTCAGGCACTGAAGGGATTGCATGCGTAGCTTCAGGAACTTTTGCTGATGACAAGTTAAATAGTAAAGTGATTTACCGTTTAAGTTTTCTTTTAAGACTTTGTTGCTCTTCCATTATCAACCCGACATTAGAATGACTTTCAACATGTATGATTTCTTAGGTTAAATATATCCTGTTTTCTCACTCTTTTTTTTCACATTCAATGGGTTTTGCGTTCATTCACTCTCAAAGCGGGTGAATGCATAACTGGAGTATATATAAAATGTTTTTCTTTTTGTGTAACAGCAATGACAATTTAAAAAAACAAGAACACTTGATGATATGCTTGAACCAGTGGTGGGATTCAGCTGGTTTGCACCGGTTGTAGAGTTCGGAGAACCGGCTGAATCCACACTGCTTCCGGAAGTCAGTTCTAGGCCTCGGAGGCCTAGAGGAGGTCTCCCAGGCCTAGAACGGCCCATAGGAAGGGCATGGATGTCACTTCCAGAAGTCCGTTCTAGGCCTCGGAGGCCTGGAGGAGGCCTCCCAGGCCTAGAACGGCCCACAGGAAGTGCGTGGATGTCACTTCCGGAAGTCCATTCTAGGCCTCGGAGGCCCAGGCCTGCATCCACGCAGAGAACCAGTTGTTCAGGTATTTGAATCTCATCACTGGCTTGAACTGCACTGTACGTAGGTTGAGATATTACCATGGTAGTGAAGAACATTTTATCCAGGAGTGTTTGGCGTTTTGCAGTGATGAACTAAATAAATTTTACTCTTGTCTCTCCACTTCAGACTCTGGGACAGAAATACAATGACAGAAGTGAAGGCGATCAATGTTGCCATGTCCGTGAGTAGCATGGAATACGTGCCTGAAGGGGAGTTAATAGTCATCACCTATGGCCGGACCATTGCCTTTCACAGTGCGGAAACGTATGTTTGTTTTTAACATGTGTGTTTAACTGTTTAACTCAGTGGTTCTCAACCTGTGGGTCGGGACCCCATTTGGGGTCGATCGACCATTTCATGGGGGTCGCCAAGCAAGGCTGTCCGCCATTTTTTTGTCTGCCATTTTTTTTGTCCACCATTTTTTCCCCCTTTTCCGGCGGGTGCCTTACCTCCCTTGGGCTGGGCCAGCTGGTGGTCGGCCTGCTCCGTCTCTGCCGCTTGCCAGCTACACCTCGGCCGGCACAGGGGGCAGAACCACACATGCGCGGCGCTCCCGGGCAGGGAAAGTCCTCGACTTACGACCGGTTGGGTAGTCCTCGACTTACGTCCGGTTTAGTCCTCGACTTATGACCGGTTTAGTCCTCGACTTACGACTGGTTTAGTTCTCGACTTACGACCGGTTGGGGTCACGGCATTAAAAAGGTTGAGAACCACTGGTTTAACTGGTCAAGCGTAGAATAGCCTAAAGAGACAGTGTGCATATCATGACACCAGTCTAAATAATTTCTATACTTACATTAGTATATGTATTCAAACCTACTTGTTTTTGCTAAAAAAAAAAAAAAAAGAGAAAGAATGTTTAGTTGCTGGCAGTGAAGGTTTTAAAATTTATAAAGAGGTTTATAATATCGATGAAGAACTAGGCATGTGATGTATTTAAACGACCTTCAGAACATTATTTTTTTTTTTGCTAAAAAATGTTTGTTTGTTTCTCTTTGCTGTAATAGATGTTTCCCGGTCTATGTAACAGTTGCATTCATCCTCCATTGTCTAGGCTACAGTGCAAAAGGAACTGTGTTATCACTGCCACCCCTGGCATTTCGCTGGTGTATGTGTGTGCGCGCGCGTGCGCGTGTATCTGCATCTAAGGGAAAATCCCTGTATCTGTAAATGATAACTATAAGCTCAAATGTTTTTATTACAGAAGTTTCTTTCGGTTTACTTTCACGTGCGCCCTATTTTTAGTATGCAAAATATATTGCAAAATTAGAATTATAACTTTCTAAAAATGGATCTCTTTTTGTTAACGAGCACTCATCTTTCCGATAGGTGAATTTAAATAAGAATCCCTCCTTATTGTGCTTTCTTTTTTGACATGTTTTAGTGTTTTGTTCAATACAGGAGTTTTATTTTTATTTTTTAAATAATTTTAGTGCTTTTTGGTTTCTCTCCATAGACTGGAACAGATTAAATCATTTGAGGCACCTGCAACAATCAATTCTGCATCTCTCCATCCGGAGAAAGAATGTCTAGTTGCTGGTGGTGAAGATTTTAAACTTTATAAATATGATTATAATACCGGTGAAGAATTAGGTACGTGATATATTTAAATGACCTTCAGAGCATGTTTGTCTGAATTTCATGGCTGTTAAAAAAAAACAAACACAACCAGCTTGTTTTGGGGGAATTAGCAAAGCAGTGGTAACAATCCTAACTCATAATTATCAAGTTGGTATTGTACTCATATTTAATTCCATTGGACCTTGAGTTGTGGGTTTGTACCTGTGCTTTCCCTCGCATTATCGATGTGTTACAATTTCTTTGCAGAATCCTACAAGGGGCACTTTGGGCCGATTCACTGTGTCAGATTTAGCCCAGATGGGGAGTTGTACGCTAGCGGCTCAGAGGATGGAACGCTGAGGCTGTGGCAGACGACAGTCGGGAAAACATATGGTCTCTGGAAATGTGTGATTCCTGGTAAGACGTGTCTTTTCTATCGGGACCGAAGCGTTCACTGACTTGTTTGTTCTCTGATTTATGAGATAATTATTACAGAATTGTACTGCAGCCCAGGTAGTCTTTGACTTAACGACCGTTTGAAGTTTGGTGCTGAAAAAAGTGTTGCATTGTCCCTGCAGTCATGTGATCAACATTCGGGCACTGGGCAACTGGCACGCATTTATCCCAGCTGCAGGGGTCAGGATTGCTGTGTGCAACCTTCTCAGTTGGCTTTCGATAAGCAGAATCAGTGCGGGAAGCCAGATTTGCTTAACGACCATGGCAAGGTCATAAAATTGGGCATACTTAACCACTGCCTCGCTCAGCAACTGAAATTCCAGTTCCAAATGTGGCCAAAAGTCAAGGACTTAACCTGCATTTCCTTTGGCTTTGCTGACCAGTAACTCGCTGACATCTGATCAGATTGTGTATCAGTATCAGATTGTGTATCAGATTGTGTATCAGGGCTGTGTGTTTTGATTAAAACTTTGCCACTAAAATGCTAATCCTGTATTGTACCATTTCATCTGGCCCCGTTAGGGTTAGTGATGCTCTGTATGAAAAAAAACATCCTAAAATCACCCTTGAGAAAAAGCTAGGTGGAAGTTTTCCTTCAGGCATCAAGCATGGGGTAGACCAGGTGTAGGCAACCTCGGCTCTTTTATGACTCGTGGACTTCAACTCCCAGAATGCCTGAGCCAGCACAGCTGGCTCAGGAATTCTGGGAGTTGAAGTCCACGAGTCATAAAAGAGCCAAGCTTGCCTACCCCTGGGGTAGACTGAAGGCTATCAGAAGGAGGTAGAGCTCTCTCCCACTAACTGCCATGGTCCCCTGAAACTGAAAACTTTTGCTTGTCTAAGGCTAGTAATTGTAACTGTATTCATAATACATATCTATGCAAGAGAGTAGATAGATCGTCCCAGCTTAAACCAGACAGCCTTATCTGGAAGAAAAACATATAAAACAGCACTGTAAAATGTTTAGTGCCTGGCAGAATGCTGCTTGTTTTGTAAACGTTTATGAAAGTGACAAGTTGAATGACGTAAAACGACAGCTTTGTGCTTTCCAATTCTCTTTCTCCAGAAGAAGAAGGCGGAGAGCTGGCAAAGGCTAAAGTCAATCTTCCAGGAACTGCAGAAGAAGAATTAGGTAATGATCTCGTGGTAGAATCTAACCACAGTCAGAGGTTAACCTTAAGGTGTGTAGGATAATATCGCAAGGGAGAACTGAACCGATATAAGAGAGCCCATATGAATCGCATTAAACAGTGTTTCTAAAAACTTGGCAACTTTAAGATGGGTGGACTCATACTCCCAGCATTCCCCTGGCAGCTGAAGTCCAGCCTGTGAAAACTGAGGGTATATATACTATGAAACTGTGATCGTTTTCTACCTTGTGTACATTAAAATATTTTAATAGAGGAAGTCTCTACTTACAACAGTTCCTTTAGTGACCGTTCAAAGTTACAACGGCACTGAAAAAAAGTGACTTATGACTGTTTTTCAGTAACAATCTTTCTAGCATCCCTGTGATCACGTGATGAAAATTCAGATGCTTGGCAACTGTGACCAGATGCCATTTCCAGCAGCAATAGACTGCTAGATCTGTAGACTGGAATAGAAACTGAGTTATGAAGTGGAAGACAGGCATAGTAACGCGTATTTTTAAATCAACCTCTGCTAAAAATTAACGGGGGATTTTTCTTCTTTCCTTATGCTCAACTTGGCAGAAGACCTTGGCTCTGAAAATACAGATTCCATCTATAGCACAACCCCCGAGGTTAAAGCTTGAGCGTCACAGCCGTTAAGGACAACACGGGAACACGTCAATCCCCAAAAGAAAAAAAAACGGAAAAAAAAAAACAGCAGTCATATGCAGCAGCCTCCCAGGGTGCAAAGTGAACCGAAGGCAAATAGGGGGCAGTAATTGATGAGAATGGGTAGGAACAGGTTGTCAAGAAAGATGGAATAGAGACAAAAAGTAACGGTTTGGCTGTCTTTTAGCGTCATTGCCTTTCGTTAAGTCTGAACATAACCAGGCGCCAAGATCCTCTTTCTCCAGTGTTGATTAAGTCATTGTAGTGTTTTATTATTGAAGAGAAATGTAACGGTATCTTGGTTAGAGTATGTTCTCTGAAAGTGGGAAGGGTGACAAAAGGCGGGGGTCATTTGGTTAAATAAAATATTTGTGGTCTAGGGGCATTTGCCCCCCCCCCCACTTTTATTGTACACTGCTTCTGTTTCCAATCATCTAAATAAAATGCTCCCACGATAGCACTCCTAGAAGATGTTACAAAGTGTACCAGGTTAATTCATCTGTTTCCGAACAGTACTGAGTAGCCCGGGGCTTTGAAAAAAAAAAGGGGGGGAGCTAAGATTTGGGGTGGTTTTTGCACGATAGGTGGATGAATGCCCTACTGCTTGAAGCTTGTGTGTTCTACTCCAATAAAACCTCATATTCAAAAGTCTCTAAAGATAACACGTGGAGCATCTCTGTATTGATTGCCTCTGGTCAAAATTGCTCATATACTATCGGAATTGACACTCTGTAAAAACGTACCTACTTAGCCATTGTATTTCTTCTGGACTTCTTTTGAATGGAAGCAGCTAAGTATTTCTATATAATTTTTAATGTTTTTTTTTTTTCAAAACCGAACTGTATGTATACATTAAATAATTCATATGCTGCATAAGAATAAAATGGTGGTTCAAAGAATCATCTGTATTAACTGAAGAATAAATATAAGGTTAGCCATTGACGTTTATAAATGGTAGCGTGTGTTCAGAGTACATTGTATCCAGCATAAAAGGAATAGAAGCCCGTTACTGTAGAACAGCCTTGCCCATCCTCTTCCTCTTTAGGTATCTTTTGAGTTGCAGTAAATTGTCTCACACCCATGTCCATCAGCCATTTTGGCTGGCGATCTGAAGAGATGCAGTTCACCTGGTACAACGTTGAGGAAGATTCTTAACAGAGCGTTCTGTACTACAAGGGGAGCTGAAAATTAAGATCAGCTCTGTGACACACTGATTCTTTGGAGGTAGTAAAATACTTGAAATATTAATGCAGTTATGATGAATTTGTTAAAAAAAAANACGAATAAGAGTTCGTATTAAGCATACCATGGACAGGGCCATGCATGCATTTAATACTAATAATACTAATAATACCAGGGCTTTTTTTGTCATAGAACGCCCAGAACAGAGTTCTGGCACCTTTTTTGGACAGAACCTTGTAGGGTAGGCAAGGCGGGTTGTATAACTTGTGTGAGTTCCGGCACCTTTTTTTTTTTTTTTTTTTACAAAAAAAGCACTGAATACTACTACTACTACTACTACTACTACTAATAATAATAATAATAATAATAATAATAATAATAATCATCTATATAAATAAAAATGTAAATGTTCGTTTGTTCAAAATCTTACATCTCCGAAAGTTCTTCACCGATTGCTTTGAAATTGTGACACAACGTTGCATTCGAATATGCGCGTGTTTTTATATACCTACTATTATATAGATGTCACACCTGTGACAGGTAAAAACATGCTCTTTAAAGCATAAAAACATGCTTTAATGAGCAACTGTCGTAGAAGCAACAATCTTGACAGGACCTTTCAAAGGCGAAGATGTCCCCATTCCTCGCATTCCTATGATTCCAACGGACATGCCATTTCAATTTAAGAGATTGCAATTCCCAATTCGATTGGCGTTTGCAGTCACCATCAACACAGCTCAGGGCCAATCTTTAGAATTGTGCGGTTTAGATCTAGACACGGATTGCTTCTCACATGGACAATTATATGTTGCGTGTTCTAGAGTAGGCAAACCAGACAATCTCTATATCTGCACAGACAATGGAACAACAAAAAATATTGTATACCCACAAGCATTGTGAAATTAAACATATTACAAACGTGCACTTTCTCTTTTCTTTCCATTTAACCCAGCGGTTCTCAACCTATGGGTCGCGACCCCATTTGGGGTCGATCAACCATTTCACGGGGGTCGCCAAGCAAGGCTGTCCGCCATTTTTTTTGTCCGCCATTTTTTTCTCCTTTTCCGGCGGGTGCCTTACCTCCCTTGGGCTGGGCCAGCTGGTGGTCGGCCTGCTCCGTCTCTGCCGCTTGCCAGCTACGCCTTGGCCGGCGCAGGGGGCGGAACCACGCATGCGCGGTGCTCCCGGGCAGGGAAAGTCCTCGACTTACGACCGGTTGGGTAGTCCCTGACTTACGACCGGTTTAGTCCTCGACTTACGACCGGTTTAGTCCTCGACTTATGACCGGTTGGGGGTCGCGGCATTAAAAAGGTTGAGAACCACTGATTTAACCAGACTGAGCCACAGCAATGCGTGGCCGGGTACAGCTAGTAATAATAATAATAATAATAATAATAATAATAATAATAATAATAATAATAATAATAAAAATAATAATAATAATAATAAAAATAATAATAATAATAATAAATAATAATAATAATAATAATAATAATAACAATAATAATAATAATAATAATACCAAGCCCTTTGCCTCTCTTTTTCTTTGCTCACTACCGGGCGCGGGGATCCGCTTTGCCTTTACAGTCTGCAGAATCGCGGGCCCGCTTTTTGTTTGCCGTTTGCAAGCGATCGCCCCAAAGTGATGCGAATCCCCGGGTTTCTCTGCCCCGGGGACCCTCCTGGAGGGGAGACGGCAGGAGGAGGAGGAGGAGGAGGAAAACGGGGGGAAGGAAGGAGAGAAAGGGCGTAACCAGGAAGCGCCGAAAGCGCCTTGCCCTGGAAGAGCATCGACTTTCGCTTCTCCGCCGATCATGGCTGCTAGCAACCGGGGCACCGAGCTAGGTAAGCCGGGCCTGCAGCGGCGGACCTCGTGCAAGCTGAGGGCGCGTCTGGACAAATGGTGGTTGGACGGAGCAGGCGGGGGTGGGCTGGGGAAAAAAAGAAGGGGTGCTTTGAACGTGGAGGTTTTCCCAGGCTCCAGATGTGCCAGAGGTTTCTCCCTTCTGCCGGTTGAGCGCGATGCCAGCTGTAGACCAGCGGTTCGGGGAGAGGAA